CCACCTCCAGCTACAGCTCAACCGCAGTTCGACGCCGAAGCCGAAGCGATGGTGAATGAATATAGAGACAATATTAATTTAAGAGACGAACCTTGATAATGTAATTTCTGTTTATATTTTCAGTGTTTTTAAACAATTTCTGTTTTTATTTTCGTATTTAAATATAAATTTTTTTAAAAATTAAAAAATTTTAAAAAATTAAAAAAATATTTGTAAATGAAATTATTTTTAATAAATTTCAAAATTTTTTAAAAATTAAAAAATTTTGAAATTTATTAAAAATAATTTCATTTACAAATATTTTTTTTTTAATTCGACCATTGACGAATTCGATGCTAAGTCGACGCTAATTTAGCGTCGAATTAGCATCGACCAAAAAATATTTCGATGCTATTTCGACGCTAAATTAACGTCGCTTTAGCATCGACCACTGACGAATTCGATGCTAAGAATTTAAAACGACGCTAAATTAGCGTCGAATTAGCATCGACCAAAAAATATTTCGATGCTATTTCGACGCTAAATTAACGTCGCTTTAGCATCGACCACTGACGAATTCGATGCTAAGTCGACGCTAATTTAGCGTCGAATTAGCATCGACCAGAAAAATATTCCGATGCTAATTCGACGCTAAATTAGCGTCGAATTAGCGTCGATTTTTACCATCGAATTAGCGACGAATTTAAAACGACGCTAAATTAGCGTCGAATTAGCATCGAATCCTGTTTAGCGTCGATAGATTAGCGTCGAATTGTAATTCGACGCTAAGTCGATGCTAAAAGACATTAGCAACGAATTAGCGTCGAATTTTGCCGACGCTAAAACTGTGTTTTCTTGTAGTGAACAACATTTGGCAATAAGTTTGAGTAACAAAAACACTCTTTGCTTTGTGTACGGATATCAAACTAAAATTTTCTTACGAAAATGATATAACTTTTACCAAATTCTACGAACTATCCGGTGTGATGTATGCCATTCAATACACTAAAACATATCTAAAAGCAATTCGCGCGTATGCGCGGATAACAGTTAAAAGACTACTAAACTTTTGATATTATGAGTTTGTATTCGTTTCTTTGTTGTAATTTTTTTTTTATTTACTCTAGCGTTCATATTATTTGTTGTAAAATGAAAATAGATCTACGAAAAAAAATTATAATTCGCGAATTTGACTAGTGAGAAAATTTGCAGCTGTAAAAGTTCGATATCTCTCAAGACCATTATAAAATGTGTTTTATTTGCTTTTATTTGATATTTTCTAAATCGAATTTAAACGAATTAGTTTGAAATTTACTGTCCAAGTGAAGGATAAGTCTTCATCGTCCAACATATAGTTTCCATACAAAGCAACACATATCAACCATGCATGGCTTCCACGTCCCCACAACCCAGGACGTGTTACATCAAGGAAACAAGAGCTAGAGAGCAATCTCTCTGTCATACCCACACACAATTATTCTAAAAATTTCCACTATATATCATATGCTATAAATTTCCATCTATAAGCTATTATCATAACAGCCATGGCCAACGACGTGACCAAAGATCCATCAGGCAAGTCTGGT